AAAAGTGAGAGAGAGTATTAACTCTTAATGTAGGAGGCTGCAAAATATCCTCGCACTGCACTGGAGGTATTTGGGAGTGCATATTGACGCGAGACTGCGCTTTGACGAGCACCTGCGAATGTCTCCGAGAAAGCATCTGCGTATGGCATGCAAGCATTGGCAAACGCATTAATGCCTAAATGTAGGGGGTCCTGGGCAAAGAAGCGGAGGCTGCTGACTAGCGTAGTAAATTCATTCTCTCTACGCAGCCCCTGTTTGGGCTGATGCCATGGGCATTCAGTCATACGCCCGTGGGCTACCGTCGGTTGCATAGAAGGTCCGCCTTGCGGGTTTGCTCGAGCGGTTTTCGCACGTATCTATGATGGCTGTGTGTGGTGTTAGGCAGATTATGCTCCCGATCGACGCTCATTGCGCAGGAGAGAAGCTAGCTCTATTTGCGCAAGCGGGAGGGGGCCTCAAACTGGAATACCATTACGAACAAGAAAGAGAAGGGGGTGACAAATGGACCAATGGCAACGCGTGGGAGGCAATCATTCAACCTGGGCGATGGACATTTCGCGGTCATTCCGCGACATCAATGACGTTGGATTCAAAGGGAACATGGAGAATTAAGATTTTTATCTAAAATCGGATGCTGACAGGGCAGATGTTACCGGGCAGTATCAGCTCCGATTCCGGCTGGACGATGGCTCCAATTCATGCCAAGGTGTTTCCCGGTGATTGAAGTTATGTAGAACACGTGTTATTTCATTGTCCACGCTTCGCTAGTGGAAAAGGGAGACACTTCACATACTCCTCCAAGAGGAAGTGACCCTGGAGACATCGTCACTAGGATGCTGGCTTAGACACAAAGGGTATTGGAGTGCGTAGCCACCTATGCCGCAAAGGTCCTGGAGAGAACGCTCGCTCCGAGCAGTACGAAAGAAAGACTCTCCCGTAATATTTTCGGGTGACGTGCCGAAAAGCCCATCCCTTCCCTTCTCAGCGACCTGCAATGCTGAACGGCGGTTCCGCGGGAAAGGAAATAGGTAGGAAAGGGAGGGGTTTTTAGTGGGTAGGCAATAGGCCTAGCTATGAATCCCACACGCTGCGGGTTGCGGGCCCCGCCTGAGTCTTTAGAAAGATTTTCGCCCTGCCATATCGGTACAAAACACACACCACACACACACAACACTACAATTTCACATATCGCTAACTACACATGTCGCAAGACAATTGTCGGGGGCTTCGCCTGGTGGGAGCACTACCCAGTGGGAGGATACATGGCGAGAACACAAGCCGACTTATGGGTTAGCGCCGGAATCTCATCAATCCAAAGAAGATAAGCCGCTGTCCAAATTAATATATATATATAATATATAATAATTATATAATATTCTATAATAATAATTATATTAATATATTAATTATGAGTATTCCCTAAAACGCCCAATTCAAGTACTACGTTACCTTCTTTTGAGGCGGCACCCGGCGCGGGTCGCCCTAGCGAGCGCGGCAGGAGCAGTCGGGGGCGGTGGTCGACGGCCCGGCAGCGCGCCGTTTGGCGCCGCACGCCCCCGCGCACGGGGTCCTCGCAGCGCCCCGCCGGGCACGCCTCCCACGGCGGCAGTCGCGTCGGCGCCGCACCGCGCGCTGCCCTCGAACCCTGCGCAGCGGGAAGCGCAGTCATCACACGCGATCTCCGGCCCCTCGCATTTGCTCAAAGAAGGTAACGTAGTACTGAATTGGCGTTTTAGGGAATATCATAATTAATATATTATATAATTATTATATAGAATATTATATAATTATTATATATTATATATAATATATTAATTTGGACAGCGGCTTATCTTCTTTGGATGATGAGATTCGGCGCTAACCCATAAGTCGGCTTGTTTCTCGCCATGTATCCTCCCACTGGGTAGTGCTCCCACCAGGCGAAGCCCCCGACTTGTCTTGCGACATGTGTAGTAGAATAGTGAATGTAGTGTGTGTGTGTGTGTGTGTGTGAGAGAGATAGAGATAGAGATAGAGATAGAGATAGAGATAGAGGTAGAGATAGAGATAGAGATAGAGGTAGAGATAGAGAGAGAGATAGAGAGATAGAGATAGAGAGATAGAGATAGAGAGATAGAGATAGAGATAGAGAGATAGAGAT